CTGCATAATGAATGAGAATTCTATAACAGGCTTCTCTAAGTTTTTTTTTTTAATATTTACAAAAAGGGATTTAAAATTACTCTTTAGATACAAGATCATGTACTAACTAATGAATAAAATGTTTGGATACAAATTAAAAAAGAAATTGTTATCTCTGTTCAAACATATTTAAAGAATTTGTAAACTAATGAATTTTGACAATTTAAATCCTACAATCATAGCCATACATTTGTTTCACTTAAGTTGCATTTCCCCAGTAGAACAACCCACTCACTTTCTTGGAAGAAAAGTTTCATAAATCCATGGATTAGAGTCTAGAGAGCCATGCATGCTGAATACAACTCCAGCGTCTAAGATTTTTCAGCTACTAGAAATAATATTAGCCAGAGCTAGGCTAAGAAAGTGACAGAAAAGACTGATCAAATCGCCTGAGTTGTTTGACAACCTCGATCAATTGTCTTCTTCAGAAGAGATGCATCTAAGGACAAGTGTTCCAAAACCCAGCAACTTCACCATACAAATTCCTTCCTTTACAGCAAACTCTTTCAGCAGAGCCATAGTGATGCTTTCAATTCTCTGTTGTAATGAATGTTAATTATTCAACAATTTTTTATATTTTTAAATCTCAAGGGCAGGTCAATTTACTACACTGTATAAATATGCATCCATTAATCGTAGAGAATGACCAATGAGTAGACTATCTTTGATTAAAATTTAATCACTCATAACATACCCAAATTTGATTAAAAATTAAATATGAGAATTTGATTATTAATATTTATAAAAAACTTAAAATTTGAGTTAAAAATAATAAGTATGAATATTATTGATAAAAATTAAATTAATAATTTTAGAAATTAAAATTTAAAATTATATTTATAATCATTGATAAATTTTAGTAAGTATTATATTAATGATTAGTAATTATACACTAGCATATAATAATGGCAAACCAAGATTAAAAAAAATTAAAACTCTTTATATAATAATAATAGAACCGAAAATAAACTATAAAAGTTAGATTCGTTCTTAAGTCTCCACCTCTGTAAAAATTTAAAAATAAAATCTGAAATAATTAATTAACCAAAATCTCAAGGTAATATCAACATGTCATTTCTCAATTTCGAAGCGTGACAATAAATTATTCTAGATGCAAAGGAAGTATTTATTTACATCACAATCAGTTGATTTCATCATATTTATGTACGTTTAGACTAATTAATATAGGGAAGATGAGTGCATGTTTGGAAGTGAATAGACATAATCAAGTATTTTTTATATAATGCTTCAATATGACCACAGTGCCCTCCCATAAGGAATAAAATATGGGACATAACTACCATAAGTTAACTGTCCCACATTATCTACTGGTCTGTAAACAGCCATGAACTCTATCTTCCCTCCCTCATGGCCCTTCTTCTCTCCTTGTCTCTACGCCCTCCAAAGCCTCCTCAAAACCCAAAACTTACCTCTCTCAACCCTCCAGTTCCAACATCTGTCATTAAAACTCTCAATACTAGGAGACAATTCATCATTAACACCACTTCCTTATGCATCAGTCTTTTGTCTCCTCAAAACCCGGTTCCACAATCTTTAGCTGAACCTTCTACACCTTCCAAGCCGGCTTTGAACATTGCAAACACCAAATCTTGGTTCCAGTTCTATGGTGATGGTTTTGCCATCGGAGGTGCTCCAGAGTTTGAGGACATCATGGAGCCTGAGGTACACATGTTCATCTGATCAAATCTTGTATTTAACATGGCTTTTCAATGGGGTTGTGTTGTTCTGCTGCCTTCTGGTTATCAATATGTAATTTTTTGAAGTTTATTGCACTTGATTAGCCCCCTAAAAACATTTAGAATGAAATCTCTAATTACTTGTTCTCTGCAATTTCAAAACATAGGAAATGAGAGTGTTCTTTAACTTTGTCTGGGTTTCCTTTTTTTCCCCAATTTCAAAACGTAATGGTAGAATCTAAAGTGTGCTTCCATTTCGTGACATTATTTTGGTTGCCAACAGGTTACATTCTAGTTCTTCCTCAGAATCATAGTCCAAAATCCAATTTTTGCCTGTAGTGTTGATGGTTTTTGCTATTTAATACTTCTTTCTGGCTAAATATCTACTGCATTCTATATGTTGGCTGTCTATGCATGGCATTAAGCTGCAAAAAGAGATGCTTCAATACTCATTTACCAAAATTCAGTTGTTTCTGGAGAATAATTATTGGAGTTAATACTTAATTACGACCAATATTCTTAAAGATAATAGAGTTTTTGCTGATAAACTTTGTCATTTGCCCAATCTTTGTAGGATTTTAATGCTGGAGCATCTCTGTACGGGGACAAAGCAAAACCCAGGACTTTTGCTGCACGATTTGCGTCTACTGATGGGTATTCAGTTTTATCATTGATGTTTGTGTTCATTTTTTGTGTTTTCTGTGTAATCAGATGTGCAGATCCTAAGATTAGTTTATGGATGAAAGCATGCACAGAAAAAGTTTAGTTCTGTGAAACTTCCCATTTCTCAGCTTGTATTTGATTTGTTGTCATGTTGGCATGTGCAGATCTGAGGTTTTGAGTGTTGTCATTCGTCCGACCAATCAACTCAAAATCACCTTCCTAGAGGTTTGTGTCATGATGTTTTGTGTTATCGCTAGATTAGCTTCAAGAGCATATCTGAATTGTTGTAATGTTAAGAATATCTGCAGTGTTCAAATTTGCAAACGAGACAACAAGTCTGTTGGTTATAGATTGATTTCAACTTGTTAGATTATACCATGTAATGTTTGCAATGTTATCCTATCTCTTGGATTAATCTGTTTCAACTATTAGAGAACTTAAATGATCTTTTCTTACTTGAACAGGCCCAAGATATTACCGATTTAGGTTCCATAAAGGAGGCAGCTAGAATCTTTGTCCCAGGTTGGTTATAACTAAATGCTAGGTCCCAGGTCGAATTCAGTTCCATAAAAAGTGAAAATATCTGTTATCAATTATTATGTAGGAATAAATGACCACTAG